ACGATATACGAAATAAACAACAGAAATTACTAGCAAATCGGAGCAAAAAACATGATTCTTGAAGAGGAAAATAAGTAGAAAAGGTAAAAGCTTGTACCTTTATCGCTTTAAGTCTTTGCATGTATGTTTCTCCATTATTTTTTCTCGAGTCAAACCCAAATAAAATCATTTTTGGCAGATGAACGGGAAGGTTTTTTAAAGATCTATCTTGTATATCTAGTAATCCCGAGGCCCGATCTTAGAAAATTATTTGGATTTTCAAAAAATAGAGAAGAAAAGCTTAAAGTTAAAACATTCATTTCGCCCCCCTAATGCGCAATATCAACGTTAATTATCTTTCAAATTTGGCCTCAATTTTAGCTTTTCATTTATAATAGTCATTTGTTATTACATGCATATTTTTTATTATTCTTATTATATATATATATATATTAATTATCTTCATTTGGCTATTTTTTTATTTTTTTATATTTTCTATATTCTATCGTTATATATATATATATATATATATATATAGACTTTTAATTCTTTTTCATATATCATTATTATTTATATATATTTTTATTACTATAATTATATGTTATATATATTTATTATTTTATATCTTTTATTTTTTTTATCTTCTATTTTTATTTTTGTATTGTTATTGTTATTATCTTCTTTATTTTATGTATTTTATTTATATATATATTTATATATTTGTTTTTGTGCCTCTTTATTTTATTTTATTTTATTTATCTTGCTTACATCTTCTTTATCTGTTTTATTTTCTCTACTTTATTGCATTCATTTTTATTTCACCTTCTTTATTTTATTCATTTTTACTACATTTTTATCTAACATGTTTCTTGACTTCCTAAAGGGTACACTTTTAAAACTATCAAGGGTAAGTATTTGGGATCGTTATTTTACCTTTCAAGTTAAACTTTCAATTTTCTTAATTAAAGACAATTGGAAATTACATAGTACCGAAAGGGCAGTTCAAGGGTGCTAACCCTTCCTTGACTGTAACCGACTCGCGAATCCGACACATCTTTGGTACGACGCAGATCAGGTAAGAAATAAGGTATCCGATCAACCCATTTTTCATAAAATAAATGATCGGTGGCGACTCCCAACCCAATTATTTCAAGTCGAAGCCCAATTTGGGGCCCAACCGAAAAACGGTTACGACAATTATATATAAATTATAATCTACCTGCATCTAATATAATGTAAATATTTTAGTTTTACACATTTTAAAGATACTTGGATGAATGAAAATAGACAATTTTTTTACTGAATATATTCTCATTTCATACTGTTAATCTATTTTTAATCATCCAACGATCTTAAAAAAATATAAAAATAAAAGAGTTTACATGATGTAAACGAATTCTGCCTCTATATATAAATTTATTAATTGAATATAAAATATTTCTAAAATATATTCAAAATTATTTTTGTTGAGAAGATTGAAATGTGAATTGTGTGAGTGCTGACGTGGTCAGTTTGTTAGATTGTTGTTATCAGTAATTGATGTGGTCAGTTTGTTAGGTTGATTGAGAGATGATTCATTGATAGGGTTTTCTCACTATTCATGATGTTAGGAAATAAACTGAGTATGAGTAATTTCCTTATAACCAGATTAGTGCGAATGCAAAATAAAAGCGGAAAAATAATACCCGAAATTGATAACGGAGTTAAGCCAATTTTGCTTACGTCTACGGACTGCTGCAGATCTTTTACTAAGAGAGAAAATTTACAGGTGTTTACAAAACACTCACTACTCACAAGAAACTCTCTAGTATTGGGAGAAAGAAATGATTTGGGATGATTTTGAAACTAAATGGGATAGGGTATTTATAGTTGAAACTTAGGACTAATCTTGTAAATACCCTAAAGTGTGCAGTGGCTAAATGTGTGATTTAACCATTTTAATTTTCAGCAATTGCTGCCCACTTGCACCGAAAGATCATTCTTCCAGCTTCCCACCGAAAAATGCTTAATATTCAACAATTGTTGGCGCCTACCAAATTGACTTTAACAATCTACCACTTGAAGACTGATTTTAATCTGTCTTCACACCTCGATCAATACAACAGTATTTCTAGTATTGTTATTCTAGCATGCTAACTGAAGTTGAACACAACTTCAATTTGTCCGTGGTCACCGTCTTTGTCAACATGTCTGCCGGGATTTTGAGCTCCACTAATCTTTTCAAGTTTCAAAATCCCATCTTCTAGAAGAGACCGGATAAAATGATATCGCAGTTGTATGTGCTTCGTTCTGGAATGAAAAGACGGATTCTTTACTAGATGGATAGCACTTTGACTATCGCAATACAAGACATTATTTTCTTGTTTCTTGCCAAACTCTTCCAAGAAACTTTGGAGCCAAACCATCTCCTTGCCGGCTTCTGTAACAGCGACATATTCTGCTTCAGTTGTGGAGAGAGCAACTATCTTCTGTAGTTGAGAAACCCAACTCACTGTAGTTCCTCCTAGAGTATAGACATACCCTGTAGTGCTCCTTCTGATGTCGACATTTCCGGCTAAGTCAGCATCTACATAGCCTGTCAGTATCGTATCTCCAGCTTTGAAACAAAGTGCTTTATTTGTGGTACCCCACAGATATCTGAGGATCCATTTGACTGCTTCCCAGTGTACCTTGCCCGGATTATTCATGTACCTGCTAAAAGCTCCCACTGCATGAGCAATATCTAGTCTGGTACAAACCATAGCATACATCAGACTTCCAATTGTTGAGGCATACGACACCTTCACCATGTGTGCGTGTTCTTCCTCCGTCTTTGGTGACTTTTCTTTAGAGAGTCTGAAATGAACACCTAAAGGAGTACTTACTGGTTTAGCATCTTGCATGTTGAACCTGGAGAGTACTTTGTTGATGTACTCAGCCTGTGATAACATCAAAGTCCCCGATTTTTATGTCTCTTTTTATCCTCATCCCAAGAATCTGCTTTGCAACCCCCAGATCCTTCATATCAAACTGCTTCGATAATTTCTGCTTCGAGTTTATAATCTCTTGCATATCTGAGCCTGCAACGAGCATGTCATCAATGTACAATAATAAAATAATGAAGTTGTTGTCAAATCTCTTGATGTAGCAACAATGATTTGCTTGGCATCTGGTAAAACCACTGCTACTCATGAAACTATCAAACTTCTTGTACCACTGTCTAGGAGCTTGTTTTAAACCATACAAGCTCTTCTTAAACCTGCATACCAGGTTTTTCTTGTTTGTCTCTATGAAGCCTTCTGGCTGCCTCATATAGATTTCTTCCTCTAAATCACCATGAAGGAAAGCTGTCTTTACATCTAACTGCTCAAGATGTAAATTTTCTGCAGCTACAATTTTCAACACCAGTCTGATTGTAGACAGTTTCACGACTGGAGAGAAAAATTTCATTGTAGTCAATACCTTCTTTTTGTTGAAAACCTTTGACTACCAATCTTGCTTTGTAGCGTTTGCTCCCATCGTGCTCTTCTTTGATCCTGTAAATCCACTTGTTGTGGAGCGCTTTCTTGCCTGGTGGTAATTCAGTTAATTCCCACGTCTGATTTAACATAAGCGAGTCCATCTCATCTTTCATGGAAGACTCCCACTTGACTGAATCATCCACCTGCATCGCTTCATCATAACACTCTGGTTCACCATTGTCAGTCAACAACAAGTAGTGCAAAGAAGGCGAATACCGTTGGGTTGGTTTAGGAATTCTGGAGGAGCGTCTCAGTTCTGGTGTGCATGGTTCTTCCTCTTGAACTGCTTCAGAACTTATCTGAACATCATTTCCAGAAATCTCCTCGAACTCAGCAAATTCCTTTGTTTCAGCTTCAGTAATACTTGATTCTGCGGTTGACCTGTCTTTGTACATCACATTTTCATTGAAAATGATGTCTCTGCTTCTGATGATCTTTCGATTTTTGTAGTCCCAAAACTGGTAACCGAACTCATCACCACCGTAACCAACAAAGACACATTTGTTGTACTTAGCATCAAGTTTACTTCTTTCAACAGAGTTTATGTGTACATAAGAAATACAACCAAACACTCTTAAGTGTGAAAGGTTTATTTCTTTCTTGCTCCAAGCTTCCTCTGGTATTCCACCATCCAAAGGAACTGAGGGCCCACAGTTGATCAGGTAAGATGCAGTGTTGATAGCTTCAACCCATAGAAATTTGGGCAATCCGACATGTATCCTCATGCTTCTGGCACGTTCATTCAGAGTTCTGTTCATGCGCTCTGCTACGCCATTCTACTGCGGTGTTATGGGAACTGTTGTCTCCATCTTGATCCCAATATTTACGCAAAAATCTCTGAATCTACTGTCTCTGTACTCTCCTCCATTGTCAGACCTCAACCGCTTGACTTTCAAACCAGTCTCATTTTCCACCATGACCTTCCATTTTCTGAAGGTATCAAAGACTTCTGATTTCTTCTTCAGAAAATAAACCCACACCTTCCTTGTTGAATCATCGATGAAGGTGACATAATATAGTGAACCTACAAGAGATGGAACTGGGAATGTTCCCCATATATCAGTATGAACCGATTCTAACCTTTCTATGACCTTCCATTTTCTGAAGGTATCAAAGACTTCTGATTTCTTCTCAGAAAATAAACCCACACCTCCTTGTTGAATCATCGATGAAGGTGACATAATATAGTGAACCTACAAGAGATGGAACTGGGAATGTTCCCCATATATCAGTATGAACCGATTCTAACCTTTCTGCCTTGGGTGTCTTGCCAATCTTTGCAAAACTGACTTTCTTTTGTTTGCCAAAGATGTAATCCTCGCATAGTCCGACATCTACATTCTTTAGATCCGACAGCTTCCCTTTTGACAAAAGTGTCTTCATCCCTTTCTCGCTTATATGGCCAAGCCTTTGGTGCCATAGGTTTGATTTTCCATCAGCATCTGCTACTGTAATGATATTCTCTAAATTTGAGGTTACATAGAGAGTACCAGTCTTCTTACCACGACCATGACGAGTGCTCCTTTGGTAATCTTCCATTCACATCCTGAAAAGGTTTACTATATCCTTCTCCATCAAGTTTCCAACAGAAATCAGATTTCTTTTGAGGCCAGGAATATGTCCACTCTGTCAGCTTCCAGGTGGTCTGGTTTGGCAGCTTTAGTCGGATGTCTCCTTTTCAGACGATCTTCAAGGTTCATCATCAGCTAGATGAACCTTCCCAAATCACCATGACATAGTTTCCATGATTTCTCGCGCATGGGGTGGAGTGAAAGATGCCACTGAATCCAAAATCCATGATTTAATTGGACTGTTGACGCTTAAATCATGGCATCACCTGTCTCCTCGTCATGTTGGCAGATTCTGTGCGCCGGTATTTTTCTTTGGTGCTCGACAATCTTTTGAAGTGACCCTTCTTGTCGCAATTATAACAGGTAAAATCTTTATTTCATGTTCTTGATTTTCCCCTTCTGGATTTCGATCTGCCACGATTTGAATTTCTTTCTAAAGTTCTCCCTCTGGACTCCGTGTGCAAGGCTGAGGAGGTTGATGCTTCAATCTTCCGTCGAATTTCTTCGCTCAGTACCAGATCCCGAACATCGTCGAATTTTAATTTTTTGTTTCCCGATGAACTGCTAACTGCTGTAACAGTAGCATTCCAACTGTCTGGTAGAGATGATAAGAGAATTAAAGCTCGAACTTCATCATCGAATTCAATTTCCACTGAACTCAATTGGGTTGTGATTGTGTTGAGTTCATTTAGGTGTTGTGCCACCGATGCCCCTTCTGTCATCCGCAAATTGAATAATCGCCTCATCAAATTAACTTTGTTTGAGGCCGATGGCTTCTCATACATATTGGAGAGAGCCGCCATAAGACCCGCCATAAGACCCGCCGTGGTCTTTTCCTTTGCTATGTTGAAAGCAACATTGCGGGATAACGTCAGTCGGATAACTCCGAGGGCTTGTCTGTCGAGAAGAGCCCAGTCTTCATTCTTCATGCCCTCTGGTTGTTTTTCGGAGAGGGGTTGATATAGATTTTTCTAGTATAAAAAATCTTCAATTTGCATATTCCAAAATCCAAAGTCCGCACCATCGAACTTTTCAATTTTCACATTCCCTTCGTCTGCAGCCATCGCTCCCACTCGAATCTGGCTTCGTTTGGATTGTTTCTGACAATTTCTGCGAACCGCCGTGTATTAGAACACCTCCGTCGACAAACTCGTATCACCGACCAAATTTCACTATTCACAAAATTCACTATTCATGTGAATAGTAACCTCGCAAAAAATTGACAGAATTCACAACCAAAAGCTCTGATGCCAGTTGTTAGGAAATAAACCGAGTACGAATAATTTCCTTATAACCAGATTAGTGCGAATGCGAAATAAAAGCGGAAAAATAATACCCGAAATTGATAACGGAGTTCAGCCAATTTTGCTTACGTCTCCGGACTGCTGCAGATCTTTTACTAAGAGAGAAAATTTACAGGTGTTTACAAAACACTCACTACTCACAAGAAACTCTCTAGTATTGGGAGAAATAAATGATTTGGGATGATTTTGAAGTTAAATGGGCTAGGGTATTTATAGTTGAAACTTAGGACTAATCTTGTAAATACCCTAAAGTGTGCAGTGGCTAAATGTGTGATTTAACCATTTTAATTTTCAGCAATTGCTGCCCACTTGCACCGAAAGATCATTCTTCCAGCTTTCCACCGAAAAATGCTTAATATTCAACAATTGTTGGCGCCTACCAAATTGACTTTAACACATGAGAATACAAGGTTGGTCTATATAAACCAACCATTAACCTCTTTTGTAGCTCAGTGAAATAAACAAAGCATTCCTTTTTTATTATTTTCTGTGTATGCTGAAATTCTAATATGGTATCAGTCATTGGTCTTCTTGGTGGTTGCTACTTTCGTTGTGCTTAGTACAAAGTATGCACCACGGTGCTTCTTCTAGTGCCATGGTTGATTCCGACGGTTCTACAATGGTACCTCCCAAGATGTTTACCAACAAGAAAGTTAATGTTGTTTTGGTTGAAGGCAACTTCTTGTTATGGAAGCAGCGTGTTCTACTTGTCGTTAGGAGTCATCGGCTAGAAAAGATGCTTTATGGCTCGGTTCAACCACTGCCCTCGACAATTACTCTTGACAATGGCAATGTAGTCGACAATGAGGAATATGAAGTATTTGAAGCTCAGGATAGTGCCCTAGCCTCGTGGTATGTGGCGGACCCAGAAATTTATAAATAGGGTCCAAAATTTTAATTTTATTTTCTTAAAAATAATAGGGGTGCAAATAAAATTTCCTATTTTTTTAATATATTATACTAAATTTCACTTTTTTTTTCCTAAATAATGGGGATGTACTTGATCCCTAGGGAGCTTAGTGAATCCGCCCCTGCTCGTGGTTGCTATCGACAATCAGACTGTCGTTACTTCCTCAACTGGTTAGGGCAGAGACGGCAGCCGACGTTTGGAAATCGGTAGCTATTTTTTTGTCAGTAAATCTACTACGACCATAATGAACCTTCATTATCTTCTTAAAGCCGTGAAGAAAGGAGATCTGAGCATGAGGGCATATATCTCCCAAGTCAAGGAAATATGCGATGCCTTAGCTGCGTGCGGGAGCTCCATTTCCGAGTGTGAACAGATCGTTGCCATTTTGAATAACCTACTTATTGAGTATCGACCCTTTGTAGTTGTTATCACTGCTAGTCACGAATCGTTTACCCTTGATGGTGTTGTTTCAGTACTATTGGATGCTGAAACATAACAACAATGCTTTGATCGATTTGATGAGCTTCATATGAGTGCTAGTTTGGCTCAAATTAAGGATAATGGCTTTGTGAACTCTGCAAATGCATCAAAGGTAGCTCACTCCAAAATGCCTCGCTCGCAATCTTTACGAGGAGGTCGTGGTAGGAGTCGTAACCTATTTTAGTGTCAGCTTTACGACAAAAATGGTCATCTCGTGGATCGATGTTGGTATCGATTTAACAAATCGTTCCCTACCGTGACTTCACCTAGTGGCCATGTGCAACCTTGACAGAATATGCCTACTGCAAATGTGTCTCCTTATAATGCTCCTTTAGCAAATCCTGCTTGCTTCTACACTAATCATGCTCAACTGAGGTCTGCTGGTGGTACTGGAAATCAAACTCCATGATTTGTTGATACATGTGCAACCTCGACAGAATATGCTCAATACCCGTCAACTGATGAGAGACAATCGACGAACCATGTGTGTCTGATTGATGTAGATAGAGGATGTGGTTAAAGTCTAAGGTGGTCATCGGAGCAAGAAGAAACGAAGGACATGAAAGGGGGGAAAACTAACTGAAAGAGGCAGTGAAAGCTTTAGCAGGCCAAAAAAGGAAAAACGGCCCAATGGATTGGGTATAGCGATAATACCATGTAAAGTTTAACAGCTAAGTAACAGAATGTTAGAATGTTAACAGCTAACTAACATTTTTAATACTCAACATTTTGAGTAAGTACAAGACAATATCTGTTTAAAGATAATTTTCAACCATTTAATATTAAACACTTATACCTCTAATATTTCTGTGCTTAAACCTGAGATCTTAAGAAATAACAACAATGCATTAACCACTTAGGTCACTCGGTTGGTGCTAAATAAAAATACATGTATACAATAGTAGTAAATGTATTCCAACTGTTTTTCAGCTTGTATTATGGTATTTTGAAAATGAAAAAGAATATATAATATTAGAAATTACTTTTTTTATTTACAATAATGATAATAAGAGCAAAGTAATTTCTGTATATTTATACACATACGCTAACAAACGAGCAGAAAACGTTAGAATGAGCAGTCGTTTCAATCCCCAGATGTCGACGGTTATTACTGGCCTTTAGGATCACGGCAGTCGAAGGGACGTTAATTCAACCCTTCCCCTGTTATCCAAAGTCAAAACAAACACCCCCCTTGCCTTCAAATGTTACTTTTTTAGACTTCATTGGAATTTAAACATTTTTTTATAATCACAATTATTTTATTTTATTCTATTTAATGTTTTCAAAATCGGACCAAACATTAAATCGGTGAAGGTACTGGCTCACTGGTTTATTGGTTCAATCGAGTTCAACCGCGGTTGAACCGGATTTTATATAAAATAATATATATTTTTTAATTTTACATAATATTCAAAGCAATATTAATATATATGTAACACTTTTTTTTAAGTTTACAATATTAAAAGGTATAAAAATATCACAAGTCATAACATGTATAAATAAAAAACCATAAAATCAAGTGAAACAAAATGATTCAAATCAACTACAACATAATATTTAAGGTAAAACATATTAAATAATAAATATAATTATATAACTATAATCAAAAAAATAAAATTGGGGTTTAAAAAAATCATAACAAATGATGTCATTTGGTTTAATTGTTTAAAAAAAACAATCCCACATGGCTAAGAAATATAGAAGAGCATCCCAACTTACTTCTATAAATAATAGAGGTAATTTAACATTCAAAATCATAGAGCCTTTTGGTGAGCACAAAGCGAACTCTTCTTTTGCTTCAATTGAGCTCAAATTTTAGGCTTCATTTTTTTTGAGTTCGAGCCGTTTCGATTTCAAGTTTTAATATTATATTTCAAGTTAATAATTTTTAGCTCGTGAGTTTTTGAGTCGAGTTGAGCTTACTTTTAAAGTTTTCGAGTTCGAGTCGAGCTCAGCAATACTCGAATTTGACTCGGCTCGTTGAACAAACGACGTCGTTTGGTTTAATTTTTTTTAAAGAAAAAAAAGTGAACCGGTGGTTCAAACCGGTTTTGCCGGTTTTCAGTCGGTTCACCCCGATTTTTCCGATTTTCAGCCGATTCTTCCAGTTCTTTATCGGTTCTGTGCTAATCCGTTTTGGGAGTTAACCGGACCGGATAGACCACCGGGTCACGGTTCAACCGGTCGAACCAGCCGGTCCGGTCCAATTTTAATAACATTGGTTTTTTCACATCTACGAAGCTGTGCATATCAGTCCACATGTTAACACCCTTTAGACTTCTTCGAAAGCTTTATCTTGCGACAGTATTAATATATTGTTAAAAATATATTATTAATTTTATTATTTTTTAATAAAATTGATAAAAAATTATTTAAAAAATTATTATTTTTATTTAAAATATTAATATTTTTTAATATTTTTAATAAAATATTTAATAATAATAAAATCGATAAAAAAATATTTTAAATAACATTTTATTATTTATATTAATAAAACCGATAAAATATCTAATAATAACAAAAATAATAAAAAAATAATTATTTTTAATAATTTTTTATTAATTTTATTAAAAAATAATAACAAAATTAATAAAATCTTTCCTTTACTAGATATTAATGCTGTGGCACCCGAGAGTTTCTCTCCCTCCCTTCTCCATTAATGGCGCTTTCCATTTTTGTTCTGCTTTCTCGCAATACGACGCCGCTTTCATATTCTCTTCCAGCAGCCACCTGAGAAAAGAAAAGCCCAACCCTTTTTTTTGTTTCTCTTCCGTTTGAAGATGGGCCGCCGCTCTTGCAATGCAGAGTCAGCCATTGCCGTTTGTGATCCCTACAACTGGGATTATTATCGTAGAAAAAATCCTACAAAAAGGAACCCAGAAACACCACCAACAACGTTGAAATCAGGCGGTTTCATTACACCGATCTCCTTTCCGCCACCGACGACTTCTCTTCCGACAACTTCCTCGGCAGAGGCAGTCACGGTTCCGTCTACAGAGCTTTCCTAGACAACGGAAAGTTAATCGCTGCCGTTAAAAGAACGAAAGCTAACTGTAACAGTCCGGCGGACAACGAGATTGAGATTCTCTCACGGGTTTATCATCCCCATCTCGTTAATCTCATTGGTTACACTTCCGATACCTTTTGCAGGAATAAACTAATCGTCGTCGAATATATGCCCAACGGTTCTTTATTTGATCTTTTACACTCCTCCTCCGTTAGACCGCCGGGTTGGTCCAGGCGTGTTCGGTTCGCTTTGCAGGTTGCGAAAGCGGTTCAGGCTTTACACTCGGCTAATCCGCCGGTGATCCACAGGGATATCAA